TACACTTGGCAGGGTGTGGCCTCGTTGATTGACCGGATTGGTGATCAGCTTCTGTTTAGTCACGCAGGCTGTGCCACGTCCTCGCCCAGTAGATACTATACATGCATACATTGCAGCTTGTTATCCATCTGTCAAGTTGTATACATGCATACATTACAGCTTGTTATCCATCTGTCAAGTTGTATACATGCATACATTACAGCTTGTTATCCGTCTGTCAAGTTGTATACATGCATACATTACAGCTTGTTATCCATCTGTCTAGTTGTATACATGCATACATTACAGCTTGTTATCCATCTGTCAAGTTGTATACATGCATACATTACAGCTTGTTATCCATATGTCAAGTTGTATACATGCATACATTACAGCTTGTTATCCGTCTGTCAAGTTGTATACATGCATACATTACAGCTTGTTATCCATCTGTCAAGTTGTATACATGCATACATTACAGCTTGTTATCCATCTGTCAAGTTGTATACATGCATACATTACAGCTTGTTACCCATCTGTCAAGTTGTATACATGCATACATTACAGCTTGTTATCCATCTGTCAAGATGTATACATGCATACATTACAGCTTGTTATCCATCTGTCAAGTTGTATACATGCATACATTACAGCTTGTTATCCATCTGTCAAGTTGTATACATGCATACATTACAGCTTGTTATCCGTCTGTCAAGTTGTATACATGCATACATTACAGCTTGTTATCCATCTGTCAAGTTGTATACATGCATACATTACAGCTTGTTATCCATCTGTCAAGTTGTATACATGCATACATTACAGCTTGTTATCCATATGTCAAGTTGTATACATGCATACATTACAGCTTGTTATCCGTCTGTCAAGTTGTATACATGCATACATTACAGCTTGTTATCCATCTGTCAAGTTGTATACATGCATACATTACAGCTTGTTATCCATCTGTCAAGTTGTATACATGCATACATTACAGCTTGTTACCCATCTGTCAAGTTGTATACATGCATACATTACAGCTTGTTATCCATCTGTCAAGATGTATACATGCATACATTACAGCTTGTTATCCATCTGTCAAGTTGTATACATGCATACATTACAGCTTGTTATCCATCTGTCAAGTTGTATACATGCATACATTACAGCTTGTTATCCGTCTGTCAAGTTGTATACATGCATACATTACAGCTTGTTATCCATCTGTCAAGTTGTATACATGCATACATAACAGCTTGTTATCCATCTGTCAAGTTGTATACATGCATACATTACAGCTTGTTATCCATATGTCAAGTTGTATACATGCATACATTACAGCTTGTTATCCATCTGTCAAGTTGTATACATGCATACATTACAGCTTGTTATCCATCTGTCAAGTTGTATACATGCATACATTACAGCCTGTTATCCATCTGTCAAGTTGTATATATGCATACATTACAGCTTGTTATCCATCTGTCAAGATGTATACATGCATACATTACAGCTTGTTATCCATCCGTCAAGATGTATACATGCATACATTACAGCTTGTTATCCATCTGTCAAGTTGTATACATGCATACATTACAGCTTGTTATCCATCTGTCAAGTTGTATACATGCATACATTACAGCTTGTTATCCATCTGTCAAGTTGTATACATGCATATATTACAGCTTGTTATCCATCTGTCAAGTTGTATACATGCATACATTACAGCTTGTTATCCATCTGTCAAGTTGTATACATGCATACTTTACAGCTTGTTATCCATCTGTCAAGTTGTAAACATGCATACATTACAGCTTGTTATCCATCTGTCAAGTTGTATACATGCATACATTACAGCTTGTTATCCATCTGTCAAGTTGTATACATGCATACATAACAGCTTGTTATCCATCTGTCAAGTTGTATACATGCATACATTACAGCTTGTTATCCGTCTGTCAAGTTGTATACATGCATACATTACAGCTTGTTATCCGTCTGTCAAGTTGTATACATGCATACATTACAGCTTGTTATCCATATGTCAAGTTGTATACATGCATACATTGCAGCTTGTTATCCATCTGTCAAGTTGTATACATGCATACATTACAGCTTGTTATCCATCTGTCAAGATGTATACATGCATACATTACAGCTTGTTATCCATCTGTCAAGTTGTATACATGCATACATTACAGCTTGTTATCCATCTGTCAAGTTGTATACATGCATACATTACAGCTTGTTATCCATCTGTCAAGATGTATACATGCATACATTACAGCTTGTTATCCATCTGTCAAGTTGTATACATGCATACATTACAGCTTGTTATCCATCTGTCAAGTTGTATACATGCATACATAACAGCTTGTTATCCATCTGTCAAGTTGTATACATGCATACATTACAGCTTGTTATCCATCTGTCAAGTTGTATACATGCATACATTACAGCTTGTTATCCATCTGTCAAGTTGTAACAAACAAGAAAAACACGCTTAAAACATTAAGTGTTGACTTTTGACTTGTTGTATGATAACAATAATAATAAAAAGAGTTGTATGATCTCTATATATATTCATATACATCCTTACATACAGGTCGTCACGCGAGTGTATTTTTGGATGGTAAATATCCTGCATTAGGCTCGCTAAATACATAGTGTGGTTTCCTTATACAGCTTATTGACCATCCCACCAGACCCACAGCGTGACAACCTCTGTATAATATGAGGCCATTCTTAAATTCTATCGCCGAAACCAATCTCTCACAAACGGTACCTAACACTGCAAGTTTCCTAGAAAGTGCGCACAAATATATTTACCTCACAAACTAGGTGATTATAGTCACTCGGACAGTGACAGTAGGTTAAATAGTTCCAACTGGAGCTTGTTCCTTAGACATGGCTTAAGGACCATAGCGGTCAAATTTATCATTGTAAAGCCATTGTTTGTAAGCACAAAAATAACTGTCAGTGGTCGTCTTTCGTAATATTATAAGAGGCCTTAATAAAAGGGAAGCTACTCTACTCTATGTTCGATACGTCACGTCTATTTAAGAGTCATAATACATTGTCATAACGTTACGAAATGCAGTCAGATGTCCGGCCATTCGGTCAAAAAATACAAAGTTGAAATAAAAGACAAAAGTGCGCAATAAATAGTCAAATGTTACGAATAAAGTATTACATGTTACTAATAAAGGTCAAAATACAAAACAAACAGTCAATATAATAGTCAAATGTTACGAAAATGTCATATGAAAAGAAAGAACAATGTGTACTAAAGAATGTCAGTGTGCACGAAAGGACGCTAAACTGCTGAAGGACGTTGACAATAAAGAATGCCAGATGGCGCTGCATTTGTTAAAACATTCCGAGTTTAATCGGCTTGTTCCGCTGTGTATATGATAACTGCATGACGACGTTCTTTAGTACACATTTTTCTTTCTTTTCATATGACGTCTTTTCGTAACATTTGACTATTATATTGCGTACTTTTGACCTTTATTTCAACCAGCATCTGTTTGTTTTGTATTTTTCCCCTTTTTTAGTAACATCTAATACATTATTCGTAACATTTGACTATTATAGCGCACGTTTGTCCTTTATTTCAATTTTGTATTTTTTGACCGAATGGCCGCCCATAGTCCCAAACAGGGACAAAATGAAGTAAAGTAAAATTTCGGACTTAATTTGGCCAAATCCAGCTTTTGTTAACTCGGGAAAAGACACCAAGCCGCAGAGGTGTACAAGCCCAGGTAGAGAAACGGATATGCAAGCCATCCTCCTAAATTGCTTCGTTTATATCTCCAGTGATGTCTACAGCTACGCCCTAGTTAGACGCAAATGTTCGCAATCTTAGACTGTTATTTTGATGGTTTATCAAACTTTACCCCATTTATTTATCTGGATCCCCGATCGTTAACTCGATAACTGAAGCAATGAATGTTTGTAAACACTGAAAGTAGTACCTACCTGACCTTTTTTATTTGCATTTCTATCCGTATATGACCCCAATGGATATCGTTTTCATCCCTTGGCCTTACTCTGCCGAGAAACCTACCCACCTTGTGATGAATATTCACAGTGTGTTTGTTTTAGATGCTAATATCTGATGTAGTAGCCGTTATTCAGATTCATGTATTTACACAAAACCACCCACGGCGGTACAAGAGTACAATATACAACTAACATTAGATAAATATACATAGAACAATTTAAGACATTGTAGACATACATTGCATATTCAAATTAACACCAGGATGAAGGGTTTTAGGACTCATTAATGAGTATAGAGGTAAATTTACATAAATATCGCAAGCGCTGTTGTTGGAAAATACTCTGTGTCAGGGAATACTGACTACACGGCTTTTTATGCACATATGAAATATGCCAAGCTGTTCACATCCCCTTATAGATTCAGATAATGTTCTTCCTAATTAAACACTTTAAAGCTCTTCCAAACAAATACACTTTGCGAAGCACCATGTATGATAGTAATCTGAAACATATAGTGTCTAACCGAATTTATTTTGGTAAGGTTTTCATTTCCCACTAAAGGCTGTTTCGTCGTATAAGGGCGATTTGTCTTGCTTAAATATTTACAATGCAGGTGTAGCCTTATATGTGCACAGACAGTCGGTGAGGTGTGTTGCGAGTTTCATCATTAACACCTGTTTAATTCAGCAGGTTCACAGGTGCAGATCCGCGTGGGTGTCGCGGGCTGACTGTCTGTCACCTAATAAGGCAATGGGTGAGAGTGGGGGTCACAATAAGTATATATGTTCAAGTCACGTGGTCTACCAAGGTTGGGCATCTACATTCTTATATCGCAGTTTACAAAGGCAAATACATTTGCAATGTGACAGAAATAAATAATACCGTTACTGCGTGATATGTTTGATTTGGCGTTTACGGCGGTTGTAAAATCAGGCACGCCCAAGCCTGTGGTCAAGGGGTCGATTTAATATGCACGATCACATATCTGGATAAGATGACAAGACAGTTATTGAACCATGCTAGTTCCTTATGGGTATATGCACAGTCACACAACTGACTATAAAGAGACACATATCAGTGGTATCCGCTACCATGACTGCCACACAGCAGACTATAAGGAGACACATATAAGTGGTATCCGCTACCATGACTGCCACACAGCAGACTATAAAGAGACACATATAAGTGGTATCCGCTACCATGACTGCCACACAGCAGACTATAAGGAGACACATATAAGTGGTATCCGCTACTATGATTGCCACACAGCAGACTATAAAGAGACACATATCAGTGGCATCCGCTACTATGATTCCCACACAGCAGACTATAAAGAGACACATATAAGTGGTATCCGCTACCATGATTGCCACACAGCAGACTATAAAGAGACACATATAAGTGGCATCCGCTACTATGATTGCCACACAGCAGACTATAAAGAGACACATATAAGTGGTATCCGCTACCATGATTGCCACACAGCAGACTATAAAGAGACACATATAAGCGGCATCCGCTACTATGATTCCCACACAGCAGACTATAAAGAGACACATATAAGTGGCATCCGCTACTATGATTCCCACACAACAGACTATAAAGAGACACATATAAGCGGCATCCGCTACCATGACTGCCACACAGCAGACTATAAAGAGACACATATAAGTGGTATCCGCTACTATGATTGCCACACAGCAGACTATAAGGAGACATATATAAGCGGCATCCGCTACCATGACTAACACACAGCAGACTATAAAGAGACACATATAAGTGGTATCCGCTACTATGATTGCCACACAGCAGACTATAAGGAGACACATATAAGTGGTATCCGCTACTATGATTGCCACACAGCAGACTATAAGGAGACACATATAGGTTGTATCCGCTACTATGATTGCCACACAGCAGACTATAAAGAGACACATATAAGTGGTATTCGCTACTATTATTGCCACACAGCAGACTATAAAGAGACACATATAAGTGGTATCCGCTACTATGATTGCCACACAGCAGACTATAAAGAGACACATATAAGCGGTATCCGCTACTATGACTGCCACACAGCAGACTATAAAGAGACACATATAAATGGTATCCGCTACCATGATTGCCACACAGCAGACCAAAGAGACACATATCTGGGGTTCTTAAGGGACGCAACTCTGTACAGCGAATTGCGGCGCCTTAGACAACTAGGCCACCCGTGCCACCCTCCCCTACCATGATTGCCACACAGCAGACTATGAAGAGACACTTACAGTGGTATCCGCTACTATGATTGCGACACAGCAGACTATAAGGAGACACATATAAGTGGTATCCGCTACCATGACTGCCACACAGCAGACTATAAAGAGACACATATAAGTGGTATCCGCTACCATGATTGCCACACAGCAGACTATAAAGAGACATATATAAGTGGCATCCGCTACCATGACTGCCACACAGCAGACTATAAAGAGACACATATAAGTGGCATCCGCTACTATGATTGCCACACAGCAGACTATAAAGAGACATATATAAGTGGCATCCGCTACTATGATTGCCACACAGCAGTCATAAAGAGACACATATAAGTGGTATCCGCTACTATGATTGCCACACAACAGACTATAAAGAGACACATATAAGTGGTATCCGCTACCATGATTGCCACACAGCAGACTATAAGGAGACATATATAAGTGGCATCCGCTACCATGATTGCCACACAGCAGACTATAAAGAGACACATATAAGTGGTATCCGCTACCATGACTGCCACACAGCAGACTACAAAGAGACACATATAAGTGGTATCCGCTACCATGATTGCCACACAGCAGACTATAAAGAGACACTTACAGTGGTATCCGCTACCATGATTGCCACACAGCAGACCATAAAGAGACACATATAAGTGGCATCCGCTACCATGATTGCCACACAGCAGACTATAAAGAGACACATATAAGTGGTATCCGCTACCATGATTGCCACACAGCAGACTATAAAGAGACACATATAAGTAGTATCCGCTACCATGATTGCCACACAGCAGACTATAAAGAGACACTTACAGTGGTATCCGCTACCATGACTGCCACACAGCAGACTATAAAGAGACACATATAAGTGGTATCCGCTACCATGATTGCCACACAGCAGACCATAAAGAGACACATATAAGTGGTATCCGCTACTATGATTGCCACACAGCAGACTATAAAGAGACACATATAAGTGGTATCCGCTACCATGATTGCCACACAGCAGACTATAAAGAGACACATATAAGTGGTATCCGCTACCATGATTGCCACACAGCAGACTATAAAGAGACACATATAAGTGGTATCCGCTACTATGACTGCCACACAGCAGACTATAAAGAGACACATATAAGTGGTATCCGCTACCATGACTGCCACACAGCAGACTACAAAGAGACACATATAAGTGGTATCCGCTACCATGATTGCCACACAGCAGACTATAAAGAGACACTTACAGTGGTATCCGCTACCATGATTGCCACACAGCAGACCATAAAGAGACACATATAAGTGGTATCCGCTACCATGATTGCCACACAGCAGACTATAAGGAGACATATATAAGTGGCATCCGCTACCATGATTGCCACACAGCAGACTATAAAGAGACACATATAAGTGGTATCCGCTACTATGATTGCCACACAGCAGACTATAAAGAGACACATATAAGTGGTATCCGCTACCATGATTGCCACACAGCAGACTATAAAGAGACACATATAAGTGGTATCCGCTACCATGACTGCCACACAGCAGACTACAAAGAGACACATATAAGTGGTATCCGCTTCTATGATTGCCACACAACAGATTATAAAGAGACACATATAAGTGGTATCAGCTACTATGATTGCCACACAGCAGACTATAAAGAGACACATATAAGTGGTATCCGCTACCATGATTGCCACACAACAGACTATAAAGAGACACATATAAGTGGTATCCGCTACCATGACTGCCACACAGCAGACTATAAGGAGACATATATAAGTGGCATCCGCTACCATGATTGCCACACAGCAGACTATAAAGAGACACATATAAGTGGTATCCGCTACTATGATTGCCACACAGCAGACTATAAAGAGACACATATAAGTGGTATCCGCTACCATGATTGCCACACAGCAGACTATAAAGAGACACATATAAGTGGTATCCGCTACCATGACTGCCACACAACAGACTATAAAGAGACACATATAAGTGGTATCCGCTACCATGACTGCCACACAGCAGACTACAAAGAGACACATATAAGTGGTATCCGCTACCATGATTGCCACACAGCAGACCATAAAGAGACACATATAAGTGGCATCCGCTACCATGATTGCCACACAGCAGACCATAAAGAGACACATATAAGTGGCATCCGCTACCATGATTGCCACACAGCAGACCATAAAGAGACACTTACAGTGGTATCCGCTACCATGATTGCCACACAGCAGACTATAAAGAGACACATATAAGTGGTATCCGCTACCATGATTGCCACACAGCAGACTATAAAGAGACACATATAAGTGGTATCCGCTACTATGACTGCCACACAGCAGACTATAAAGAGACACATATAAGTGGTATCCGCTACCATGACTGCCACACAGCAGACTATAAAGAGACACATATAAGTGGTATCCGCTACCATGATTGCCACACAGCAGACTATAAAGAGACACTTACAGTGGTATCCGCTACCATGATTGCCACACAGCAGACCATAAAGAGACACATATAAGTGGCATCCGCTACCATGATTGCCACACAGCAGACTATAAAGAGACACATATAAGTGGTATCCGCTACTATGATTGCCACACAGCAGACTATAAAGAGACACATATAAGTGGTATCCGCTACCATGATTGCCACACAGCAGACTATAAAGAGACACATATAAGTGGTATCCGCTACTATGATTGCCACACAGCAGACTATAAAGAGACACATATAAGTGGTATCCGCTACCATGATTGCCACACAGCAGACTATAAAGAGACACATATAAGTGGTATCCGCTACCATGATTGCCACACAGCAGACCATAAAGAGACACATATAAGTGGCACCCGCTACCATGATTGCCACACAGCAGACCATAAAGAGACACATATAAGTGGTATCCGCTACTATGATTGCCACACAGCAGACTATAAAGAGACACTTACAGTGGTATCCGCTACCATGATTGCCACACAGCAGACCATAAAGAGACACATATAAGTGGCATCCGCTACCATGATTGCCACACAGCAGACTATAAAGAGACACATATAAGTGGTATCCGCTACTATGACTGCCACACAGCAGACTATAAAGAGACACATATAAGTGGTATCCGCTACCATGATTGCCACACAGCAGACTATAAAGAGACACATATAAGTGGTATCCGCTACCATGATTGCCACACAACAGACCAAAGAGACACATAAAAGTGGTATATGCCACCACGACTGCCACACTGGTCACACAACAAACTATATATGAAATGTTTTCTGCTTAAGGTAATAGATATATGAGATATTATCTGTATAAGCCAGAGGGTATATGATATATATTCTGAATAAGGCAGGATATATATGAGATATTCTCTGCACAAGCCATGGGGATATTTTAGATATTCTCTGTAAAAGCCTGGGGATATAGGACACATATTCTGAATAAGACGGGATATGTATGAGATATTCTCTGTCTTAGCCAGAATATATATGAGATATTCTCTGTATAAGCCATGGGATATGGTGACATATTATCTGTATAAGCCAGGAGATATAAGATATATTATCCGTATAAGCCTGGAGATACATGAGATATCATCTGTATAAGCCTGGAGATACATGAGATATCATCTGTATAAGCCTGGAGATACATGAGATATCATCTGTATAAGCCTGGAGATACATGAGATATCATCTGTATAAGCCTGGAGATACATGAGATATCATCTGTATAAGCCTGGAGATACATGAGATATCATCTGTATAAGCCTGGAGATACATGAGATATCATCTGTATAAGCCTGGAGATACATGAGATATCATCTGTAATAGCCAGGAGATACGAGTACATAACATATTCTCTGTATAGGAGATATATGAGATAGTCTCGGTGTAAGGAGACATGATATACCTACTGTAAAATTGAGTGAGTAACAATATTCCAGCAATATCCCGGCGGGGGAGACCAAAGTTTCACACATTGTACCCACGTCGGGAATCGAACCCGGGTCTTCGGTTTGACGAGCGAACGATTTAACCACTAAGCCACCCGACCGCCCCGCTCACTGTATAAGCCAGTAATAATAATAGGCTATTTATATTGCGCATATTGCCACACCAGTCAGGGCATGCTCACAGCGCTATCGTTACCCCGGTCACTGGATTATTGTGCACACAAGAATCATTCTCAGCTCACTGGGGAGTATACAACCCAAGCTGCCTGTTAGGCGCTAGGTTAACAACCACATTGCCGTCTCATCCTACCGGGTACCCATTCACTGCTGGGTGAACAGAGTCACATTTCGAACAAAGGCACTTGCCCAAGGAGACACCACATGTCACGTGTGCTTCAGTGTGGGACAGGACCGAAGTCCTAGAAACTCTCAGGAGCCAAGCTGCCAAACACGGTCACCCATCCAAATACTCTCTGCGGCCGACGTTGCTTTACTTTACCTGATT